CACTCCGAATTTTCTGCATAATATTTACACCACACATTGCCCTTAAACAGGCCCATCTCCGCTGCCTCCAACCTTTCTCCTCGCTGCTGCATTTACCACCCAGCTTCACACCCATATAAGAGTGTTGGTACTACTATACTTTCATACATTCCTTCTTTGCCTCCATAGATAAGTTTTTTGACTCCACATATACCTCAACGCACCACTCACCTTTTTTCCTCATCAATTCTATGATTAACCTCATCCTTCATAATCCATCCGCCGACCGTAAAATCCCAAGTATCTGAAAACATTCACTTCTTCCATACTCCTCCTCCCAATTTGATATCCAATTTTTCTTTATCTAAATCATTTGACACCCTCATCACCTTACTCTTTTCTATGTTCACTTTCAACTTTCTACCTTTACACACATTCCCAAACTCATCCACTAACCTTTGCAATTTTTCTTTAGATCTCCTAAGCACAGTATCATCAGCAAAAAATAACTGTGCTTTTTTCCCATTTTAAATTTGTTCCCCAAAATTTAATCCCCCCCCTCTCCCAAACCCCCTTGCTTTTACTTCCTTTAAAAACCCCATCTATAAATAAAAAAAAACAACCATGGGACATTACCATCCCGTCAAGCCCCTACTTTCCCGGGAAGTGTCTCCCTTCTTCTCACACCCTAACCTGACCCTCACTATCCTCATAAAAACTTTTTTACGCATTTAAAACTTACCCCCTATTCCTTAAAACTTGAACCTCCCCACATTCTCCTCATCCCTTATCAATGCCTTTTCTAAATCCAAAAGCAATAAAAATTCCCTATTTTTATCTAAATAGTTCCATATAGCTTAAAATGTAAACACCTGATCTACACTCCCTACCCACTCTAAACCTCTTGTCACCCGCAACCCACATTCTGTCTTACCTCTTTTTCTTTCAATTAAAACCCTACCGTACATTTTTTCCCCGGTTACTCAGTAAGCTTTTCCCATAATTTTTACAGTTCTTTTTTTCCCTTTCCCTTTATAAAAAGGGGACAAACTCTTCTCCAAACCCCTGGGTTTCCTTCCCCTCTTTAAAATTATTAAACAAAGACCCCCCACCCCAACACAATCCCCCCTGTTTTAAACATTTCTGTCATGCCCCATCATTCCCAGCTGCTTTCCCCCCTTTTATTTTACTAATGCCCACGTACCTCCCCCACACTTACATTCTGCTTTTCTTCACCCCTAAAAGAGGTATACCCCCCCTAACAGTGAAGAAATTCTGCCTTGTTTTTTCCTTAAAATTTTAAAAAAGTTCTCAAAATTTCTCGCCATTTCCCAATCCTCCATTTCCCATCTACTAACCCCCCTACTCTGTTTTTAACTGACAAATCCATATTTTCCCTGGGTTTTCTTAACTTGTTTAACTCACCCCAAAAATTTTTTTCTTATTTTCTTTTAAAATTTTTCTTGACGCCCCTCCCCACCTACATCGCTCCCTTTTCACTCTTCACACTCTCTTTACCTTCTTTTACTCTCCATTAGGCTCTTTTATAACACTTTGCTTTGTAAAAACCTTCATAAGTCCCTTTTTCTCTTTTATCACCCCCTTTACTTCTCATTCCCCAATCACTCCTTTTCCTCCTGCCCCCACCCCCCTATAACCAAAACTTCGCCCCACATTCTAATAAAATTTAATTCTTATTTATAATATTTTTTTATTATATATATATTATATAATATTAATATTTATATATATAGATTTTAATTATATATATTTTATATATTTATTATTTTTATATTTTAATTTATATTTTTATTTTAATAATATATATATATTTAATATATATTTATATATATATATATTTATATAATTTTATTTTTTTATAATATTTTAAAAATTTATATATATATTTTATTTATATTTTATATTTTTAAAATTTATTATATATTTTTTTTATTATATTTATATTAAATTTTATATTATATATTATATATTTTTTTTTAAATTATATTTTTTATTATTTATATAATAAATTATTATAATATTATATATAATATATAATTATATATAATATAATAAATATATATATAATATAATTATAAATTTTAAATTTATAATATATTATATATATATTTATATATATTTTATAATTTTATAATATTTATATTTAATAATATTTTATATTATATATTTTATATATATTATTTTTTATAATTTTATATAAAATATATATATTATTATATATATATATATATATATATATAACGGGGGCCCCCACTTTTACGGAGGTTGGGGTTTCCAGGCTACCGCGAAAAAGCGGAAATCGCCGTAAAAGTGGAAAAACCCTTTTTTTTTCATTAAAAAAAGCAAAAAACACTAGATAAAAAGTTTACATAACATATATTAAGTTAGAAATAAAACCGGGCAAAAAAAACAATAAAAGGTACAATCACACATAGTGCACCATTACTTCCCTTTAAAATTTTATTTTTTAATCTAGGGTGAGAAAAGTAGTATTTATTGTAAAAATCAGTGGGGTTTTTATTGTAATGCCAGGCTACCTTTCCAGGCCCCCCCACACATACTATTTATGATATTTAAGCATCCCCGAGCGATTAAAAGTATATACAGTTACTCATTACTTCCTTAAAATATTTGTAGTCTTAATGTAGGGGAGGAGTAAGTAAATGAGATAAAACGAATAAAAAGAGAGAGAAAGAATGAGTACATGAGAGGTGCAGGGGCCCGAGTCAAACCCCGGCTCCACATCTTTTATTTATGTTTTTTTATTCTATTGTGGGGGGTATTTATCATCTTTTTATGTTATGTACGTTTTTTAATTAATTTTTAAAAAAATTCAGGGGTGGATTTTAAAGAAAATTTTATATTTACCCTAAAAAAAACGACATTTAAAGAGACTCGGGAGTATTGTTATTATGGGGTACTTGGCAAGTGTCTGCTACCACATCTCCATTTAGTTTATTATTCTACGGGGGTTTTATTTATTTATTGTTATGCATCGTGTTTTTTATAAATTTTGAAAAAAATACATGGATGGATTAAGAAAAAGGTAATTTCCGTAATATCGCATTTAATGGACTCGGGGGTATTTTTTTAATCACCCCTTTTGCAAGTCGTTGTACCCCTCTACATTTATGTTTATTTATTCTACTGTGGGGTGTATTTATTTATTTATAGTTATGCATCGTGTTTAAAAATATAAATTTTTAAAAAATTCATGGAAGGATTAATGAAAAAGTGTATATTACCGAATATACGACATTTAATGAGACTCGGTGAGTATTGTTTTTATTATCATTTCTAATATGGCGTCACTTGTGAAGTCCCTTTTACCCCTTCACATTTTTTGTTTTTTATTCTATGTGGGGGTATTTATTATTTATATGTTATGCATCGTGTTTATTATATAATTTTTAAAAAAATATCATGGATGGATTTTTAAAAAATGTGTATATTAAAGTAATATACGGGGCTTTAATGACTGAAAATATGTAATTTTTTGGTACAGGTATACTAAGTATAATTATCAGAGTAATATTAAAATAGAAATAACTTTTAAAAAAATTTGAAATTTTGGAGTTTCCCGACAAAAAGGGGGATTAGTGCTTACTGAGCTCATGGAGAATGTAAACAAACAGGGGGGGGCCGGTGACCGTATTAAAAGTCGGGGGGGGAGCCGTTTTTACGAGTTTTGGGCATAATTTGAAAAGTCCGTATTTCAACGCCGTAAAGTGAAACGCCGTAAAAGCGGGGCCCTTTCCCGTTATTATTATATATATATATATATATATATTATATATTTATTTTTATATATTATATATTTTTATATTATATAAATAATATATAATTTTAAAAAATATAATATATATTATAATATATAATTTTTATTTTATATATATATATATATATAAATTTTTTAATATTTTTATATATATTTTTATATAATTATAACATATAATTACAAATTTTTTTTTTTACGGTACTTAATTTTTTCAAGGGTCACATGATGCATATAAACAAAAAATAAAAAATAATGGGGGAGCCTCTTAAATTGTTTTAAACACTGAAATGGCAACCAAACACTCAACCCTAAATTTACTTCCAAATACATATGGCACAATAATCATTCAACACTTACCAAATAGCTGTCCATTCATATGTCAATCATTACATACAAGCCAGAATACTGCATGTCATGGGAAAAAATGTGATAGAAGTTTGGCTAGTAGCAAGTGAAGTCAGGTGACAGATATTATTCTTATCTTATTCATTAAAATTCTATAAAATGACCCAGGTTCTTGTATATATTACACCAGTGATGTACCCATCTTCAGTATAAAAAAAAAAAAAGTAGAATGTTACATGTTTTGGCACATAAGGAGAAATGTATGTAGTTTTTTGTTTTGATGCATTAACCCTTAAACTGTCCAAACGTAGATCTACATTCACGTGCGTAGCGCTCCGACCTTGATTTTCCCCATTTGAAAGCATGTAAAAAAAAAAAAACGTAGTTCTACGTTCGGAGCCCCCGCATGTGGATGCAAATCTACATTTGGACAGTTTAAGGGCTAACACCAATAGGTTAGTCCATCTATGCTACATAGATACCCACCCACCATACTTTAGAAAAAAAAAAAAAACGAACTTTCTTTTAAGCCCAATTGAACACTTTGTGCTATGAGTATCCAACATTTGCAACTATTATTTTGCAAAACTGAATGATGCATATCTTGGCATTAGATAAGAAGACAAATGTGTGTGATGCCAAGCTCCAATATACTAAATAATGTTAAAGGCAATTTCTCTATTTAATATGGCAGAATACTGTCCTTGTACCCATGCACATATAATATTTCTCTCTTACATTTCTGAAGGAAATAATCCAGTCTCTCCATATTCATGTACAATGAACACTTCAGTTATTTCCAGCAAATGATTTAGTAAAATATAAAAGCAGACATGTTTACTGCCATACTGAACCATAAGACTGAAAACTGAGCACATTCTCCCAATTACTTTAATGAATTAAACTGTTTAGGGTGGTGGTACCAGAATACACCCCTTGAGTGCAACAGATCATGGAGTGTATAGCAAGGTATGCCTATACAATACACCTGTTAACCTGAACCAAATCTTTTTAAATTGTCCTAGGATGTACAAATACATGTAAGAAATTATGTAGTGCAATGAAAAATTCAAATCTACAGTGTGATTACTAAAACATAATATGCAAAGCATCCTGATAAATTTAGATCTTAATAATTATTTTATGAACATTTAAAGATAAATGTGCATGATAAACTATTATGGCTACAATGCCATGATAATTCTAAATAATTGAAATAATTCATGAATCAAGAATAGTCTTCAGCATTGATAGGAGAATCAGTTAAAATTTCAGACAGCTGACATTTATCCATAAAATCATCATTAACTTCAGGTGACAGGGAAGTTCCTTCACTACTTGACACAGAGTCAAGTGTTGAGGGATGCTCAACCATCACCTCATCAGACATTTCGTCAGTACCAGTGGTGGTATACTCTGGAACAATAGAGTGAAAGCTGCCTTCTTCCTCAGGGGACGTGCCTCCTGAAACAAGTCGGTGAACTGTATCTATAATATCCTGACTAGAGCCAACAGCTATAGAAACACGTGAGCCAAGTTTAGATTTGGTTGGAGTAAGTTGCCTGGGTGGAGGTACAGGCCCTAAGTCAGCTTCTATTAAAAGAGGCTTTAACTGTCCCAAAATTTTGGCCTGAGATTTCATATATGCTCTTGTTTCCCACATCATTCGAACTAAGCGCTCGTCATCATGTTCATCCAAGGCAATATCTTGAGACAGTTGTGGATTAAAGCGAAAGAAAGGAACATGCAAAGTTGAACACCATGTGCGTGCTCTATCCACAATTCGACCTTCTGAACTGCAGGCTTGTTCCACCAACACATTGAACAAATTATACATTGCTTGAAGACCTCGACGTACATCAAGAATACTTGGCATAGTTATGTCAACATTGTCAACCTGTTAAAAAATAACTATCTATTAACATGTATTGAAGCACTATCATTTTGAAAATCTGATATGCATATTCTACCAATTTAAAAAAGGAATTCAGCAAGTCATGATCAGTATTTAATGCTACACAAAGTTCAAGAAACCAACTGTTACCTGCTGCTGATTTGGGAGAAGGGGAAAATAGGTCACTGCCCCAGTAACTAGATCCCAAACCAACCCTACATATTATTTTAACATGTCAGCTGTTTCCCACCAAGGTAGGATGACCCAAAAAGAAAAACTCAAGAGCAAAGAAAAAACTTTCATCATTGTTCAACACTTTCACCATCATTCATATATAATCACTGTCTTTGTAGAGGAACTCAGATACAACAGTTGAGATGTCACTCCAAACCGCCAATATCCCAAACCCCTCCTTTAAAGTGTAGGCATTGTACTTCCCATCTCCAGAACTCGAGTCTGGCTAACCAGCTTCCCTGAATCCTTTCACAAAATATTACCCTGCTCACACTCCAACAGTTTATCAGATCCCAAAAACCATTTGTCTCCACTCACTCCTATCTAAGATACTTATGCATACATAGGTCCCCACAGCTTGGCTGATCAAGAACTAACTTCCAGGAACTTATCAGAATCCCTACTGAACACAGCTCCGGGTGTGTTGGTAATACTTATGAAGGGACAATGGTGAAAAATCTTGGCCCTTTACATGTATTATCTCTCAGTATACTTGTTACAACCCTCCTTTTCATAAAGGGTACTTTGCATTGTTTGCTGAACCTCTTGATCTTGTAAGAAGTAAGCTCATTGTGTATATTTAAAACCAGCTCTTAAACACTTTTCAGGTATAGATTATGAAATACCTTTCTTACCTGCATTCCAAGAAGTAGTCTGAGGGATCTTAGGAATTTTCAATAATTTAGGTATTTGACTGAACTGATAGATGCAGTGAAAAGTTCTCTATCAATTCTCCAGGCCTGCAATGTCTCCTACCATAAATGGGGGCTGTTAGTATGCAGCAATATTTCAGCCCAGAGAATAAATGCCTTCAAGAGTACCATCAGTGGTTTGGCATCTTTCGTTATGAAGTGGCATGGCATCTTTTGTTTTGACGATGTTTGTTAGTCAGCCTATTATTTTGTAAGACTTTCAGACATTTGTTACTCTTAAAGGACTTATTAGTAATGAATGTCTAAAGATCATATATTCCTCTTCTGCTCTAATGAATGGTTTGAGTGTGTTTGTGTTACGCAGTGTGCTACAGTAAAATTTATATAAGAAATAACGCTCCATGTCATTTTCCGAGTTTGTACTGAATCCGAACGCGTATTATTCCCGGCCAGTTAGTGTGTCCAGGAGACAGGAGCAGATGAGATGTGTTTAGTTTAGTACCAGACGGGTGGTCACGGGGTGAAGTCATCATGTTTGGGAGGTAGTTTGAGTAGGTAATTTTGGTAAGTTTTTTAGTGTACACCATAGGTGTTTGTGTTTAAGTGCTCTCATGTTTATTTGTAAAGCCCTAGTATGCAGGGGCCTGTGTTTTGGAGAGCATTTAAAGTTTCCACTGTAGGCTATGTAGCCTGCAGAAAGGGGAAGGGGGTGTTGTGGAGCCTCCCTGTTCATGTTCATTTATTTTAACTCATTAGCAGCAGTGTGCTAACGAGCTAATGTGAAATGGAGTGTGGTGGTTTTTTGTAGTAGTTATAAGTTGCATATGAGGTAAAGGGTGTGATAAAAGAGAAAAAGGTAGCTTATGAGTGGTTTGTACAAAACAGAAGTGTTATAAGAAGAGCAGAGTATATGGAGAGTAAAAGAAAGGTGAACAGAGTGGTGAGAGTGTAAAAGGAGAGCAGATGATAGAGTGGGAGAGGCACTATCAAGAAATTTTGATGAAAATAAGAAAAAATTTTGGGGATAAAAAAGTCAAAAAAAGCCTAGGGAACGAATGGATTTGTCAGTTACAAACAGTTTAGGGGAGTTAGTAGATGGGGAGCTGGAGGTATTGGGTAGATGGCGGAAATATTTTGAGGAACTTTTAAATGTCGATGAAGAAAGGAGAGGCGGTAATTTCTTGCACTGGCCAGGGAGGTTTACCATCTTTTAGGAGTGAAGATGAGCAGGATGTGAATGTGGGGGAAATGAGCGAGGCATTACGCAGAACTGACGGGATCATGACAGAAATGTTAAAAGGGGAAGGAAGGAATATAGTGTTGAAGTGGTTGGTATTTTTGTTTAATAAATGTATAAGGGGGGAAGGTACCTAGGGATTGGCAGAGAGCATGTATAATTCCTTTATATAAAGGGAAGGGAGACAAAAGAGATTGTAGAAATTATAGAGGAATAAGTTTGCTGAGTATACCAGGAAAAGTGTATGGTAGGGTTATTATTGAAAGAATTAGAGGCAAGATAGAATGTAGGATTGCAGATGAGCAAGGAGGTTTTAGAGTGGGTAGGGGATGTGTAGAGCAAGTGTTTACATTGAAGCATATATGTGAACAGTATTTAGATAAAGGTAGGGAAGTTTTCACTGCATTTATGGATTTAGAAAAAGACATATGATAGAGTGGATAAGGGAGCAATGTGGCAGATGTTGCAAGTATATGGAATAGGTAGTAAGTTACTAAATGCTGTAAAGAGTTTTTATGAGGATAGTGAGGCTCAGGCTAGGGTGTTGATGTTTAATATATTTATAGATGGGGTTGTAAAAGAAGTGAATGCTGGGGAGATGGGTGGGATTAAATTATGGGGAATCAAATACAAAATGGGAATTGACACAGTTACTTTTTGCTGATGATACTGTGCTTATGGGAGATTCTAAAGAAAAGTTGCAAAGGTTAGTGGACGAGTTTGGGAGTGTGTGTAAAGGTAGAAAATTGAATGTGAACATAGAAAAGAGTAAGGTGATGAGGGTATCAAATGATTGAGATGAAAAATTGGATATGAAATTGGAGAGTAGTAGTATGGAAGAAGTGAATGTTTTCAGATATTTGGGAGTTGACGCATCAGTGAATGGATATATGAAGGATGAGGTTAACCACAGAATTGACGAAGGAAAAAAGGTGAGTGGTGCATTGAGGTATACGTGGAGACATAAAACATTATCTATGGAGGCAAAGAAGGGAATATATGAAAGCATAGTGGTACCAACACTCTCATATGGGTGTGAAGCTTGGGTTATAATTGCTGCAGCAAGGAGGCAGTTGGAGATGGTGGAGATGTCCTGTCTAAGGGCAATGTGTGGTGTAAATATTATGCAGAGAATTCGGAATGTGGAAATTAGGAGAAAGTGTGGAGTTAATGAAAGTATTAGTCAGAGGGCTGAAGAGGGGTTGTTGAGGTGGTTTGGTTATTTAGAGAGAATGATCAAAGTAAAATGACATGGAGAGCATATAAATCTGTAGGGGAAGGAAGGAGGGGTAGGGGTCGTCCTTGAAAAGGTTGGAGGGAGGGGCTAAAGAAAGTTTTGTGGGCGATTGGCTTGGACTTCCAGCAAGCATGCGTGAGCGCATTAGATAGGAGTGAATGGAAACAAATGGTATTTGGGACCTGACGAGCTGTTGCAGTGTGAGAAGGAAATATTTAGTGAAGGGATTCAGGAAAATCAGTTATTTTTATATAGCCAGACTTGAGTACTGGAAATGGGAAGTACAATGCCTGTACTTTAACCCTTCCCTTTCAGGGTCCACTGGCTCTCTCAGAGGCTTGTTCTCAGGGTCCCCCAAATTGAAAAAAAAAAAAAAAAAAAAAAAAAAAAAAAAAAAAAAAAAAAAAAAATATGAAAAGATAATGAATCTTTTCCCGATCATAATGACACCAAAAGTATGAAATTTGATGGAAAACTTACGGAATTATGCTCTCGCAAAGTTAGCAGTCTCAATGATGTTTACGCACCGGCGATTTTGCCCACTTTGAGACCTATTTTCTGCCAATTCCAATGTACTAGTCGACAAAAATCATAACTATTTCGCTAGAACTCCATTTTTTCTATCGAATGAGTATAAGAAACCACCAATTTACCAATTTCAACTATCCAATACAGTGGTCAGAATTTAGCAATTTTGCCAATTTCACACAAATTTCAAAAGATGCCAATTTCCAAATAGGGTCCAGAATAAACAAGAAAGACAATCCTGGCACTAAAATAACATTTCCTCTGTTCATTAGTCACGTCCCCAGGCCCCTCTTACATTTCTTTTGCTTTCCACTTTGAATTTTTATTCTCACAAAAAAATAAGATTTACTGTTATGCAGCCTAGTGCATTAGTGTAGAAATGGTATAAATAATATCGGCACACTTGTGAAACAATATTAGACTCGCCAGTTGACATGTATTGGACACTTAGCATGATTTGTTTACTTTTGAACTTTGGTAAAAATCGAAAATTTCTGCTAATTTGAGCTCAATTTCAAGGTACTTTTCATTGTAAAACCAGTCAAAATCATTTCAATTTCTGTAAAATGTCTTCCATTCTATATAATGAGACCAGGAAAACTAGAATACAACAATAAATACCATACAAAAATATAGTGCAAAGTCGCTGTTTTAATCCAAAAACACGGTCAGTTTTTTTTCTCATTACACACTGTGTGCTGCAGGATTTTTTTTTATACTGCACACACTGACCACATAGACCCATTCTTTCATATGTAGGCCTACCAGCTTTCTCTTGCGAGATTTGAAGGCGCTAGAATCTATGCGTACTAGTACGTCATGGACACTGGCGCGTAAGCCGTACTAGTACGGCTGAAACCCTGAAAGGGTTAAAGGAAGAGTTTGGGATATTGGCAGTTTGGAGGGATATGTTGTGTATCTTTATATGTATATGCTTCTAAACTGTTGTGTTCTAGGCACCTCTGCAAAAACAGTGATTACGTAGTGAGGTGAAAGTGGTGAATGATGATGAAAGTATTTTCTTTTTGGGGATTTTCTTTCTTTTTGGGTCACCCTGCCTCGGTGGGAGACAGCCAACTTTTTAAAAAAAAAATTATATAGGTGAGTTTTTGTC